TTTGGATGGTTTTATAGAAAAATCAGATGTTATTTCTTATTTCCTTTTTATTTCAGGCTGATTTGCGTGAATATGCTGTACCGTTACTTTCAGATCGTATCAATAAACAATTAGGTGAATTTAAGGTATGTTAGATTTATACGTGCATACTATTTGTTCGATGTCTATATTGCTTATTTATCTCGTTTTTCTTTTTATTTTTTAACGTTAGCATAGCCGTAATATTAACTTTGATAGTTTTATTGACATGAGATTAGAAGATGGACATTTTTTAGTGATATAGCAAAGAATGTAAACGGTTGGTCAACTGTTCCGAAAATTGGTACACATAAGGCTGAAAATATGTCGTACTTTTGGCATTTAGATAATATTGAAAGTAATTCAGTAAAGACCAAAAAATTTCATTGTCTCTACTTACTGGATATCATAAATAATTTTCAAATCTCACATCATAACAAAATTTAGGTTGATTTTAAGTTTTATTATTCTAAGTTTTCTTTAGGGACCTTTGGTCGTTCAAGTTGTAAAGCAACGTAATGTTTCATATCCAAAGTATAATGAAATAACGCATACCGATGGTCTTATCAAGATTCAGTTAAGTGATGGTTTCTCCAGCATTCAAGCATTACTGTTTGAACCTATACCAAAGTTGAAGTATGCTCTTTGAAATATATATGTGATCTGGCTTATGGTTTCAGTATATCATTTCTGAAAGATTAATACCAGAGCTGTTATTCTCGATATTAGCAATGAATATATGTTTAATGAAACATCAAATCACTCCAAAAATTTACCGTTTTTTTTTTTTACTTATTTCTTGTTTTTTCTTTTTTTCTTATTTTTCATTAAAAATTTTCAGCGCTGAAACACCACCAGGCACAAAAGTTTGTTTGGCTGGAAAAATTCCAATTGAGAATGGAATGTTATTAATAAACGAAACCAACTGCCAAGTATTGGGTGGAAATGTTGAAAAGATGATCGAGAAGTGGAACATGGAAAAGGTTTCGTATAGTATTTTTATGCAGTAGTGAATTTGTTCACGATAAATTTTTGCATTACAAAAATTTTTATTCCAGTTATAAATTTATAAAATATAGCTAAACTTTATAGAATTGGCAACAGAAACCAATACGAAACATTGAAAGTAATGCTCCAAAATGGACTCAATTTTCCAAACAGGTAAAACTTGTTAATTGTTCGGGAATATCAAAAAATAACCATTTACCTGCATTCTACAACCTGGTGCATTGTGCATCTGTGATAGTTTCAACCATTTAATCTTTTTTTTTTTTTCATTTTTGTATTTTTTCATGATTTTGAAATTTTGAGCTTGTCATTTTTCGATATCCATTTTTTTTTTTCAGCGATTACCGCAGTCTTGTCTTCCGGTTAATGCCACTAATGAAATGTTCCGAGCTAATGATATAATTAGTGGATTAAACAAAAAAATGATTGATGAACGTGGTGATGATTTCAGTGCTGCTAGAAAAGCTCAAATTGATCATGTTATCGAAAATAATGCCATAAAGAAATTTGCGCGTAGTCAGGTAATTTATAATAATTTGAAGAATTAGTTTGATATAATACTGATGATGACACTCAACAAATGTATATTTCTAATCTCCTGAATGACATTATTATTTAGCCAATAAATTCTTTCTCATTTTTCTTTTTATTCTGTTTCTTTTCATAATTTTTAAAAGAATTAGAATGGTGTATATTTAAAATAGTATTTATTTTAGTTGAAGCCGAAACCACTAGAGAATTGTGCTTCAACTTCTTGTAACAATAACAGCAAGAAAGATCCGGTGATAAAAGGAAAACCTGACACGGAAAATATGGTTTTGTTTTTTCTTGCTTTTAACAGTTTTAATTTGAAAAGATTTGAAAAAGCTTTTAAATAATTTTTCATTTAAGCTGATAGTTTCGGATTCGAGGATCCTTCTGTAATTTTTTGAAGATGTGCACTGACTGATTGTAGTATTCACAATCAATATCGAGTGGGCATTTTGCATCAAAGAAATGCATCGTTACTTTAATGTAACAGTTTAGAAATAATAATGATTAACAATATACCAATGATTAGCCTTATGATAATTTAGGATCGACGTTCATTCCGTGATGACAAGAAAAATTTGCTGCCAGTTCATCGACCGTCGAATCCTCCTACTCTCTATGACTTCATGCAGTCGAAAGTTCCCATGCCTGATGGAATATCTACAGGATATCAAAATTTTGGTAACCTGCAGGTTCGTTGGATTTTGATTAGATCACTGGAATACTTTTTTAATTGTTTCCAATTATCACACTTTAAATATTTCTTTCATGAATTTGTTACTTCAAAATTTCTTTATTTCTCTACTATGCTTTTTCGTAAACAAAATGTTTACTGGAATGTTTTAGTTCAGTAAGCATTAAATGGTTCTTCATTTTTGGTTTATCTTTCATCAAAATAGTTCCTGACGATGATATTTTAAAAAGATGTGATTTAAATTAGATTTATCCACAAAAAAAGGAAAAAAATTACAAAGCGTTTAATTGTTAACACGGGCGTTCAGTTTCCGATGGAGAAAATTGAAACGAATCAGCAAAGTGTCGAGACTCAAGGAATGGATCGACCACGAAGGGGCAGATTTAATGAAAGAGGTTATTATTCAAAATTTCGTCACGTTTTGATGTAGTTTTATTTTCTCATACTGAAAGGCTTAATTTTGTAGGATTTCGCTATCAGCAAACTGATGATAATACTAATGGCTCACATATAATCGAAATTTCGAACTCAAATAGGTATCGAAAACACTGTAATTGGCGATTAGAACGTGAAAAAAACTATGCAACAAATATGGTAAATGATAAAGTTCGAGTGAATCATGCGGATGATCAGTTGGTTTCAACGGCCAACAAAGGTTTACATAACTTACTACTATTTAAGGGATTTTTTGCTTAAATCTTTTCCTTTACTTGTTTCAAGAATTAATAACAATTATAATTTTATCATTTTGGAATAGCACTGTTTCTGCTAATTTCTTACGATCTAACATTCTAAAGCTTTATTATGTCAATTTTAACATGCAATCCATAGAATTTTGTAGCTCAAATTAACTGAGATTGATCGAGTTAAAAGAATTGCAGTAACCAATATGGATGATTTGGTTTTATCATTATTTGATAGCCTGACTATCTCTTTTCATTTATTTTTTAGAATAAACTGTTTGATTTTATGTTGATTTATGTAAATTTAATCGCATATGTTTTAGGTAAGAATTTCAGAATTTCATTAATGATGATGATTTTACAATTATGACTCATGTCATATCATAAGTAGTTATCATTAATACTATATGGTTGTTATTTATTCATCTCGTTTTTCAGAATTATCGGCACTGCACCTTTCTTCGATTGATAATGGACCGTTAGGTGTTGGTAAAGTTCATGATGTTCCACAAGAAACTGTGTGTTTTGAAAATAAAAATCATGGTTATCAGCAATATGCAGTTCATGGGCCAGTATATAAACAACAGCAACAACAACAACGACAACAACAGCGACAACAATACCAACAGCAACAGCATCAACAACAATATCAACAACAATACCAACAGCAACAGCATCAACAACAATATCAACAACAATACCAACAACAACAGCAGCAACAACAACAACAATCTTTCGATAATAGAATGATGAACGGAGGGATGCTGCCGGTTTGGAAAATTGGTGACAAGTGCCTTGCACCATGGAGTGATGGCCAAGTAAATGTTTTATCTTATTATGGTTGAAATACTTTGATGTTTATATGCAAATAAAGAGTACAAATTATTCTTGAAACGAATCAAATTGATTCCATAAGAAATGATCTTGAAATTATTTATTCACTTATTCTTATTTTCTCTTTCTTTTCTTTTTCTCTCTCTCTCTCTCTATCGTTTACTAGCAATTCATTTACTGGGTGCTACATTGGTCATTGCCATTTGAAAATGCTGTATAGCATTTGTATATATTGCAATATTGAAATGTTTAGTGAAATAGGATATTTTAAATCCATCTACATAATAATTGTTCATCATACAGTTAGGTATAATTCATTAAGACTATATATATATATTAATTTAGTTTTTCAAGTCTTCTAAGAATATCTTTTCAATCATTATTCATTATTCAATGTTGAAAATGAAAATGGTTAATTTTTGTTTTTGCAGTTTTATCCATCAACACTGGTATCAATGGGTCCAGCTGATATGTGTACCATTGAATATGATGAATATGGAAATAGAAGCAGTGTACCTGTTGGAGTACTTCTTCCATTTCAGACATTCTGAATTTTTATTAATGCATAATTGATCATCTGAAATTTTGCCTTATAGGGTGTGCAATTCTTATGTTTTATCTCAAAGAACTATGGGTATGTTATAAGTCATGTATTTCGTGTTAAAAAAAAATTGTATTATTAAGTAATTATATACTATTAAAGTAATTATTTAACTTTGAATGTTTTGGAATTTTATGCGGAGAATCAAAATTGAAAGTTTTGTTAACATTTTCATTAGTAGAAGAGATATTTCTTCCACTAACTATTCAGTGATGAAGTGAATAAATTGTTTCCTGTCTGTGTATTCGATTATAATGTATTATAGAAAATGTTATGTCAATAAATAATTTTTTTTTCATTACTATTTAATGTAAGATGAAGATTTTCTTTCTTCTTTCTATAGCATATCTGTTTATTCATTTTTTTGTAAAATTAAAAATAGTTGCGAATTACGGAATGTCAATTTGCCAATATTATTCTTTAAGAGATTTTTTTTTTTATTCTTCTTTGAAGTTTTTCTACTATGACTACTTTTTCATATGTGTATACGTATAATTTGAGAAAAGTAATACTTGATCTCTTGAGAACACTTTATCTTTTTGCCTGATTTATCAGGGAGGCATTTCTTTTTTCAGGCACTTTGTTATTAACATTAATATTTGAGAGACCGGTGAGGACCTATATGAAGCTTATGATTTCACGGCATGCTAGTACGGCAGCTCGGGTCATCAAAGGCGCAATCCGTCGTGATATGCCATCGAAGATTGCATTATGGTTGACACCTGAAGCTGTAAAACGTGTGAAATATTTGCTTAGCAAACAACCGGAAACGACAGCACTAAAAGTATGTTTTTTCGTTTGTTTCACAATTGAATATTCTTTGAAGGGTAGTAAAAGCTAAATAGTAATAGAAGTTCAACTAAATCGAAGATATATTTTGAAGATAGAGTTGGACAAAGATGAATCACTTGATTTAATCATTTACATGTCCGGTCATTTTGTTGTCGGAAATTCGAATTCTAAAAAATCTGGCAACAGATATAAATTCTCACTTTTTTTTTTCTTTAAATGAAATACGAAGGCAAGTAGCAAGTTACTTTGCTTCACCACTGAAGTAAGCATGTATACGAAAGAAAAAATTTTTGTCCTATAAAGTAAAAACTTGTAAAAAATGATGAATATTTAAAAAAAAAAAAATTGTGGTTCAGCAATTTGAGGATGCCAGGATTGTTTCAGTAATACAGTTATTCTTATTAGTTTATCTAATATAAAATTTCAAATATGTGTATACGGGGAAAATATGCGAGAAGTATTGGTTTCAGATTAGCGTAAGGCAACGTGGTTGTAATGGACTGACATATACACTTGATTATGCCCAACAGAAAGCAAAATTTGATGAAGAAGTTGTGCAGGTGATCATTATTGATTTTCGTTGTAAATTTTTATTTAAAATGATGTCAGTTTTAACAAATAGCTGTATAGTGTCATTAGGTGATACTGTTTTTATTGAGGCTTATCCGTTCGTTGATCGGACTAATTTAATTTTCCTGATTTATATTCTTTGGCTGTAAAATATTTTATCTCTTAAATAATGATTCCTGTAAAGCTTTGATGTAATTTGATGTCAAGTTTATTTTGAGGATGGTGTACGTTTGTGGATTGATCCGAAAGCGCAGCTGTCGTTATTAGGTAGTGAAATGGATTATGTGGAAGATCGTCTGTCTTCTGAATTCGTATTTCGCAATCCGAATATTAAAGGCACATGTGGTTGTGGTGAAAGTTTTAGTATATGATAATAGTTTGTGTTTATTTTGGAATTCTTATTATTAGTTTTAATATATGTAATGAAGATAGATGTAGTTTTCGATTCTGTTTATAGAATATATTAGGCAGATTAAATTAATGCAGTATTTTGTATTTAAGAATTACAAATAACAAATATATAAATAACAAATTTTTCTAGTATTGCCTGCGTTACACAAAGGAATTTTTTGACAAATTAGCAACTACATAGTTACTTAAGTTGAAAGTCTAATGCTCAATTTTTGGATGTTACCTGTAATTTTCGTATTATGAATGGATAGCCCTATTTTTTCTTCTGTCATTCTTTCATTTGATTATCATTTTTATTTCTAGAAGTCATTGTTTCACTGATTAATACGGTCATAATCTAGTGATATAGAAAGTTGATAACGCCAGGAGTGCTGTAAGTGTAACCTGAAGTTACATAGTAATTCCTGTTGTGGAAATTTTTTTTTCATAAAAATTTTATGCAAAAAACTAATTTGATTTTTTTTTTTTTTTAGAAATATTTGCTAATCTTGCAGTTACTATGACATACATTTAATGATCAGTTTTGTATATATTATAAAGTGATGTCAATATTATTACTTATGTTATATATAACTGTGATTGTAATTAGTATTAAGTGTAAACTAACGTAAATCAGGTTCGATCACATTGTTATCTTTGATTGCATCCTTCATTGACTAATAACATTTGTTAGATCACATCTTAAATACATGGAAAATTCATGATGAACATCTCATGTAAACTGCTGATGTTTCATCTGAGCTTATATTATCAGTATGTGATATTCATGATAATGAAGTGATAGATAATTTGATCATCAAATTTTAAATTATTATTTCAAGTGCATAACAGTGTTCCACTTAATAGTATAAAGTTATGCGGAAACAATTTTTCCATTTGTTGATCACCGGAAGAATTAATTCCTGCACATTGGGAGGACAGTGTTGCGGTAGTTGGGTTCTTCGTGATAAATTGCGCATAGGTACATCGAGTTGTGTTGTGACCCAACGCAGCGGTCTCAAAGATATGTCATCGTAACAGAAAGTGATCTAAACTGAAGGTTTGGAATTTATTTCCTAATTGTCGGTTGTGGCGGGATCTGTTATTAGGATAGTTTGAAGGGATTCAGGTACTTTTACGTGATTATTATTTTTAACCTACGTTTTATACCATTTCATTGATTTTATTACATGTAATACTAGGTGACATTTCTGAAAAGTTCTTTGGAGTGGTATATGATTAAAGATTAATTCCGGAATTATAGTAGTTATTGGTACATCTCAAGTAGTGAAAATAATTACTGGCACATCTCAAATAGCTTCAAAATATTTGTGTGTTATAAGACTAGCATGTTTGTAAGACTGATGCAATCTTGAATAAGGTTGTCTCAAAAATTCTGAAATTGGCGGTATACTTTAAAGCAGGTTCATCGATTACCTTGAAGTCTTCTTAAAATTTTATATCTTTTCGACACAAAACTGTATTATGTTGCAATAAAAAATTGTTAACCAGTATTTTACTTATCACTGATGTTTGATAAAGATGATATATCATTTAGGAATGTTTATATTTCTGGTTACAACCCGTCTCTATGTTTTCAAGTTTTGGTAAGGAACCAGTGCAGTAAAGTTTATTTGTCTTTTTTGCAGGTTTACTTAGCTACCAAGATCGCTTAGAAGGTAACGTAGAAAATAATGCAGATTTTTGTAAGAGGCATCGATGACGGAGTCAGAACGATATGTATTTCGGAAACGAGTACAGTGGCCGAGCTCAAGGTTCATTTTGTTATTCTGATGATAGGTATTTGGGTATATTAAGATTGGTCCAGTATTTTCACTGTTCCCATTGCTGAGCATTATCATTAAGATGAAAAGAAAAAACTATGACTCTGTCCTAAAACTTGAAGAGACTATAATCATCTTAAATTTGGACTGATGCCTCTATTTTAATGGACTTGGAAACTTGTAGTAATTGTAGAATAGGTTAGAAAGTTCTGAGAAGTTCTTGGCAAAAAACTTTGCTTTTCATGTGTAAAATAGCAGTTGAGACAAAAATTACGAAAATGAAAATTTTTTCATTAGCATTCGTTGCATTAATGAGGACTTATTGTTCTGTTCGATCTGTCTTTTGGAGTTCAACAGATTAATATAATTAGTGAAAGGAACTATTACACTACCTTATATTCCATGATGCTTTTTCATTTTTTAGGCATTATTATGCGCAGATGGTGCACTTTTGACGTGTGGCGCAGGAATTTTGGATGATGATAAAGCACCACTTATGAATTTCGGAATCTGCGATAAAGCAAACATTGATGTCTCATTTCGACTTCTTGGAGGTAAGTTTGTTCTGTGACTAACGTCAACACCATTCGTAATAATGCTTTTCATCTGTTCCCTCTCCCTTATTTTCGAAAATGAACTGGTATTCCATTCTATAGTTTGTTTTCATCTATCAAAATTGCTGGAATCTCCTATTTTGCTTAAGGCAAAGTGCACGGTTCGTTGGCTCGAGCAGGAAAAGTGCGAGCTCAAACTCCGAAGGTTGAAAAACAAGAAAAGAAAAAGAAGAAGACTGGTAAGGTTTCCTTTTTGGTTTCTAGACTTGAATCGTAAGGTTCCTATTTTATTGATAACTAGTGTACTGGAAGTATTTTCGGCTGATTTTATTTCTAGTATTTCTTCCATCCTCTGCTTGCTATTTATTTGTTTCAATATGCCCAATTTTATTGCTTTCAGGCCGAGCAGCTCGTCGTATCCAGTATAACAGGCGGTTTGTTAATATAGCGGTTAGTGGAATAGGCAGAAAACGTGGACCAAATTCAAATGCTGCATAAAAATGAGATTTTATGGGTTGATATTCACTGATATTTGAATAATTTAACGAACTAATTCATTTGAAAAGTTTATGTAATGTTCTTGTGCGAAATAAATTTGTTGATTTGATTTTTGTTCTTATGCAAGTTAATTTTTTACAAATAGAACATATCCCTATTTATCGTTTACAAAACTTACGCCATTAATGTCTGGGTAGTACTGTCATACGTAAGAGTCGAACATTAGTGGTGAGAGTGTGAATGGATGTAATCCGATTCGGAATATATGACTTTTTGAGATTTTCATGAATGATGTACATGAATGGTGTGTTGCATTTGAGTTTAGGTTTTGAACGTTTGGAATTTTCAGTGTATCAAGAGCGGAATCAGAAATCTATTGTTTATGTCTCCAATATTATATGTCTTTTTTTATGAATCTTAAAATGATTTGAAATTTAATAGATATTATTAGATATAGTTGGAGTGTAATGAAATGTCGATGAAACTGTTGCAGGAAGCTATCAAGCTTGTGGATGCAGGTTTGTTTAATTCATATTTTTATTTCAGGAAGGTAATAAACGAATCAGATGAATTGGATTGAAGTATGGTATTGGTCTAATTTCAGATAGAAATAATGATAGGTTGAGACACTAAGCTCTGTTTTCGCTGATGTATCAAGAAAAAATTGTGAATATCTATCTAGAACATATATCAGGATTTTTTTTGGAAGAGAGAGGGTTATTCGGATTTTGTAGGTTGTATGTTTCGGTTAGCAAAGATGAAACTTTAGCCTTTTCTTCGCAATCATAATGCTCTTAATTGCTTTATTTATTTATTTGTTCACTCATATTCTTATTTTTAAAACATTTGTAGGTGATAAATATTTAAAACCTTTTTAGATGACAGAGTAAAAAATACGGAAACCGTACGAAAATCAGTAAGAGTTTCAAAGGCAGAAAGAGATCATCAGAAGCTTGCCGCTGTACTCACCACTTCAGAATACGATCCGGAATTAGATGATTTCATCGTAAATTCGAGTGTGCAGAAGCAAAATTTAATCAACCCTAATAGGAAGAAAATTACTAAGGTAATGCAGCAAATAATTGAGCAATAAGAAATTGCACAGATTTTAATGATTTTACTACTCATCTCTCTTAAAATCAGTATTGTTAGATGTAATTTTAAATCTTAACTGTAAGCTCGTTGAAAGCTCATTGAGCTTCTGGAATTTGATGTTCTGTCCTGGACTTTTAGTAATGAATTTTTTTTTTCTTAACAATAGGTACAGTAGTATCTTGATGAGTATTTTCCATTGTGAAAGCTGTATAGTTAAACTATGTTAAACCATGTTACAGTTTGAGCGCTTCTTTGTCTTAATTCAAATAATCATTCAATATAAAGGGAAAATTTAAAACTGATGAATGATAATGTTTTATTTTATGAACTGTTTTCCTTTTTCTTTTTTATACTTATCCTTATTTTTCACTTTTTTTTCCTCCCAATTCATTTTACCTTATTTTTTTAATGTTTATTTGTTCACATTAAATGCTAAAATTTGCTATTTTTCAGAACATTTCATTATTAGAAGAAAGTCGCTTAATAAACAAGACAAACCTGTTGAAACGTAACATTAAATATATGGTTTACGAAACGAATTGTAAGTTGGATCCTGATAAAACCAAGCAATTGATAGGTTTTATGGATGAACATAATCGTCGTCGAAAAAAGATCCTTCATGCGTTGCGTAAACGAAATAGTTTGTTTTTCTTTTGCTAATTTTTTCATTTTTATCTCAAATTTTTAGAAATCTGAATTCATCAATTTTTCTTAACGCGCCAGCTATTGCTTGGTGGAAATTGATGTAATTTGTGATATTAGGTTATGTATAGCATCTTTTTTAACTTTGAATAATGCGTAAAATTCTCAAAATGGTTTTATTCTTACAAGCCACTTTCTCTGTATATTTAATATATAGATGGAGTACGAGATTATCGGTGGAACTTCAAGAAATCCAACAATAAATCGATATTTACGGATGAAGATTTCATGAAAGTCGGACCTGACAGGATAAAAGTAAACATTTTTTTCTTTTTATGCTAAAATTTTTATTGCATATGTTCATTAAACTCAAAAAATTAATTTAAAAAATTAATAAAAATTTGATTA